TTGACCCCTGTGCAGAGAGAGAGAAATGGCATCCCTCATGAATGAGAAGAGAGAGAGGTCTCTGAGGTCCTGGAGAGGTAGGCTGGGCCTGCTGAGAGGGTGAACCTGGGAAAACGGCAAATGATGGGTGTCCAGGGTAGCCACCTGGACCAGCCAGCTTACTTCATCAGGCCCAGGGTGAAGCCTGCTGGGTTGAAACACAGTGTGAGCTAGACATCCTCCTGTGATCACAGGCTTCTGCTTTGCCCAGCAAGATGGCATCCGGGCTCCACTTTGCAGTTTCTGGAGCATTCCTTACTCCCACCAGACAGATAACGAAACATTCAGAGAGTAAAATGACCGGCCTGGGGTTGCAGTCGCACACAGGTTCTGAATTCTTTTCCAGGGGTCCTCTCTCAGGAACAATCAGAGTCCCTCCATCCCCCACTCCCAACCACTCCCCCGCCGCCCCCCCCCCGCCTCTCCTGGCCCTGATTTCCCCTCAGACCCTCCCCTCCTCCTCCATGTACCTGTCATCCAGCTGTTGGGCACTTAGACGTGCCAAGCCCTTCCCACCTCAGTGTTTTCACAGGGCTCTTGCCCATCCCTCTGTCCACTGTGTCCCTGAACCCCTGTCCCAGCGAGGCCCGCATGGGTCCACAGCATCAATGCCTTTCCTCCGGGATTTTCACAACTCTTACGATCTAATCACTGTGGAAGCCCATTGCCTGGTGCTGCTGAGAATAACTGTCCTGGAATGAACTTCACATGTTCATTTATTGGCATGCTGAGAATTTTCTCTAATTGATAAAAACAAACAAACAAACTGAATTTAAGATGAAAAGTGCTTTATTTTGAAGCAAGAAAGTTACATGCTTGGGAAAGAGGTTGATTTCCGTGTCTGGTTTAGCATCACCCTGACTTTGAAAGTTAACAGTCATGTTGTGTGTGAGCCTTTGCTTAGAAGTACCCGCCATCTTCTGGTTAGTGTTAAGAGATGCCTCTTGTCACTCGGTACTCATGGATCCTGGGGCTCTTGGCCCCCCCACCGAGGGGTCTGCCATGGGAGCAGGCGCTCCCGGGAACAGTGACACAAGCCCCCTGGGTGGCCGGAGGGGAGGATGCACTCGTGTCAATCACTGTCACAGGGTCGCCTGAGCCCCATGGAGCAGGGCTGCTCCTCGGCCCATCAGAGCTGTCAACCGCGGCACCTGCCGCCTCTCAATCAAGCTCAGGATGCGGCCTGGCTGGGACATCTGTCTTCGATCAGGCACACGTGGCAGGAAAGCTGACATCCATCCGTGCGTGCACACGTGTACTGCAGGAGCACACTTCCACGTGCCTGCATCTGTCCAGGGACCGCCACTGGCCCCCCACCCCTGACCACCACCACCTCCCACAACCCTCCCAGGTCGGGAGCTGCGGTTCTGTCCACTGCAGACCCCTCTGTTTGATGCTCAGCTGCCCCATCCCTGGTGACAGGGGTCTGATCTCCCTGCCTTTCTTTAGAGGAGAGAGAGGTCAGTGGGGGAAACCCTTTATGGCCAGCGACGGGCTCAGCAGAGCTTGGTGGTGTGTCCTGTGGACAGCTGGGTGGACGCAGGTGGAGCTGAGAGGGGAATGCAGGGCGTGCCAGGACCGTGGCCTGTGTGTGCAGCCTCAGTCTGAGCTCACACGACCTGTGAGCAAGGGGCAGGAACAGGCTTGGAGTCAGAGTGACACCTTATGTGAAATGCCTATCCTGTTGTTGAATCAGAATCGAGCACCATCCTCACTTGTCCCTTCTACTCTCGGGTCACTTCGGCCGTCTGCGTTTACTGGCAGTTTGCCTGCTGACATTCTCCCTGCTTTTGTCTGCCCTGTCTGGGGCCTGATCATGTCTCCCTAGACCAGGAGCAGAGCTTCCACAGGGTACCCAACCGTGCCTGAGTCATACCTGCCGCAGCCTCTCCCAGATTGAGGGCCTTTCTGCCTGTCAGTCTTCTGCCCTTAGCCCCCGAGATCTCTGCTCAGCCCTACGCCACCTCCTCTCAGAAGCCCTCGGGCCAAGTGGACTCCTTCCTCTGGGCTCCGGCCGTCCCGTTGCCCCATGTGGTGATGACAGGTATGTGTCTGTGACTCTGCTCAGCTCTGAGCTTCCAAGGACAGTGCCAGGTCTCCCTTGTCTCTGCGCTCTCATCACCCAGCACAGGGTCCTGCCCTTGGGAGGCACTTACTGAGCACTGGGCCATGGAACGCACTCGGAGTGAAAGGATGAGCTCCCTGCAGAAGGGCAAGGGGCTGCTGGAGAGACCAGCTGGGGTGCCTGAGAGGAGTAGCCATGGAACAGAGGCTCTCTGTCTGCTGGCATCCCCTCTCTCTTCCCTCCCATTCCCCCCTGCCCTGGGGGAGGAGGTAGAAATTAGTCTGAATTAGAGATGTACTGTCAGCTTGTCCATCCACCTATCTGTTTGTCTGTCCATCCTTCCGCCACCCCTCCATTCATCCATCCCTTCATCTAATATTTATTGAGCATCTCCTGTGTACCAGGCACACTACTGAGCACCTAGAGACTGAATCTGGGGCCAGCCAGGACAGGACAGGACCCCAGGGCTTTCCACCATCAGAGCTCCACATCTCTTCTTGTTCTTTGTCTCCTCCGGGGTCGGCCGGCCGGGGTGGAACGGGGTGGGGCTCAGATGGTGCCTGAAAGAGCAGCCCCGAGCGCCGTTAGAGTCGCCTTATTTCAATTCAAGACAACAGAAGATTAAAAAATGTCTCCAGGGAGAAAAACAGGAACATTCATCCAATTTGAGAGGAAAACTTACATAGTGGGAAAGCCAGGCCTCGTTTGTGCTCACCGAACCAGAAGTGGGTGCAGGAAGGGAAGTCATCGCCATCTCTGCGCAGCTTCTCCCGCGATAATCAATCATGTCTGTTTACTCTCTTCCTTTGTTCTTCAGGCCCTCCTGCCTCTCTCTGTTCCCTCTGGTTTCTGGTCAGTGGGAAGCTCCCAGCCCTTCCCCCAGGGGCCCGTCTGCTGGGGAGGCTGCGAACGTGAGGTCTCAGAGCTGGTGGTTCGGAGTGAGATGGACCTGCGGATGGTGGCTGTAGAGTGGCCAGGCCCGACCCTGCTTCCTTGGGGGCTGCACCCCAGCTGGGGGGATGCTAGGGGATCTCCGCGCTTCACTGCTGCAGCCCCTGCTGAATCCAGAAGTAGGGCCAAGAAAAGGGTGGCTGAGATGGGTAATTGAGGGTCAGCCATGGGGCAAAGCCTGGTCCAGTGCCTCCCGAATACAGCTGGTCACTAGATCCCACAGGGACACAAGCAGTGCCCAGGGCCTGCCGCTGGGGTTTCTGGCTCAGTGGGTCTCAGCTGGCTGTGACCGCCTCCGGCTGGCCTGCACCGAAGGCCAGGGCCTCCCTGCTGCCCACTTCTCAGGGGTCATTAGTGCTGCCCTGGCTCTGCCTGGTCTGTGAAACAGAAGGGGAAAGCATCCCAGGACGCGTAGGATACCCTGACTCCTTAAGGTGTGTGAGGAAGTGGAGGTGAGGTTTCTGGAGGAGCCCAGGCCCCTTTCACCTCACTGAGCATCACGGGCAGGGCCGAGAGCTGGCCTTGCGGCAGAAGCGTGGCCCTGGTGGCCTGGGGCTGGAGCCTGTCTGCCTTGTGCCCGGGATGAAGAAAGAGCAGGGACTGAGTGTGGCTGGTGAGTCTCTGGTCGTACCTGCTGTGTGGCTTTGAGCAGACACCCAGCTTCTTTGAACCACTGTTTCTTCATCGTCCCACAGAGACCTTCCCAGTGGGGTCTCAGCCCTGAGCGTGGAGGTGTGTGGGTCCTGCGGTTTCAAACAGGTGCACTCCACCACCTTTCCCAGCTTCTCCCCATCTCTGCCAAGACCCCAAAACTCTCCCAGACATCTAAATCCAGACCATGGGAACGGCCGCCTCTGAATGCCCTGCCTTCCAGCACCCAGGGCTGCCCCGCTGCTATTTTTATCTGCTGCTGGTTAATCTGTGCCCTTGTTTACGGTGGTATCAGCACAGTTTAAATGCATAGTTATCTCCAGCTTGAGCTCAGATGGTGACCTCGGTCCAGTGGAACTGCCTTGCGGGCAGATTGGCCCACGGAAATCCCACTTCCAGTTAAAAGCTTATTTCTGCTGTTTGTAGGAAACTTAAAATGGCTAATTTAGGCATCACCAACAGGGACTGGATCACCTTGTTAAAATAAAACCAAGTTTGTTTATTTACTGGCGGAGTAACTTCCAGTGACATGTGTAGGTCTGCAGCCCTTGGTCCCTGAAGGTTGACATGCCCACCCGATCAGGAAGTAAAGCCCTCCGAAGGCCCAGAAACCTCCCCGAGCCCCCTCCTGGTTCCTGCAGCGGTGTCCAGCCCAGAGCAGGACCTTGGCCAGCTAATGAATGAGACATAAAGGGACCTGAGGGGTGCAGAGCCGATTGGGGTTCTGAGTAGCCAGTGGGTTTCCTGAAGGAGCGGGGGCGGTGTTGCTCAGTGGGACTGAAATGTTTTCTCGAATGATGGACTTTCCACCAAAGAGGTGGATTTGTGCGGGGAAACGGAGCACTGACCTAGGCCGCTTTCTGTTCTCCCCTGGGCCCAGGCCCTAAGGTTGGTAGCCTCGTGTGTACTCAGCCCCATGTCGGGGTGTCTGTGCAGTGACTCTGAGCCTGGCCCCAGGGAGTGCCGAGGTTGGGCGCCCCGCACGGAGGCCATGTCCTATGACCTGTGACCCGTCCTGCTGGCCCTCCCGGGCTGGGAGTTGTCTGCAGCGGTTGTACAGTCCAGACCCCCACCTGATCTCTGCATGCATCTCCACAGCGGCCGTCCCCTGGGCACAGGGCTGTGCTGCTTCCACAGCAGCGTCTCACCCTCTCATCGTCATGTTCTTGGCAAGGTCCTTCTTGACACAAACACCAGCCTGCCCCGCGCCTATGTGGGTCTGATCAGGGTGCCCCTGGGCCAGCAGGGCTCTCATGAGAGGTCCCAACCTCGAGTTCTGTCTGTGATTCTCCAGCTCCAAGAAGCCCAAGAAACGTCCCGCAGTGGCTGTGAAGCCCAAAGCCGCGCCCCGGCTCACCATCTTTGATGAGGAGGTCGACCCTGACGAGGGGCTCTTCGGCTCGGGCGGGAAGCCCTCTCCCCGGGGCCACGCAGAGGACTCACCCCCCGGGGACCGTAAGTAGAGCCCAGGGTGTCCCTTAGCTCTCAGGGTCTCCCGGGTGACCCACTAACCTCTGCGAAGGGCGTCAGGCCCACCACACAAGAGCAGGATGCCAGTCTTGACACGATATGGACTCGCCTGGTGGGGATTTTCTGCTGGAGAAATCTAGTCTTGCACCTTTTGTACCCACACCCCAGAACATTCCGGGGCTGTATGTTTATGCTGGTCATCCCTTGGAAGCAAAGGGTAGTTTTCTTTGTTGCTTTGAAAAGTGTGGGTTGTGACTGGTGTACAAGTATCTTTGTTACCTCCACAGCCAGATGTGGGCACCAGATAGAGAGGGGGTGCTGGGTCTCTGCGTGGCTTGGATTATAACAGGAGACTCGACTCCGTGTCCCCTGCAGAGACCCCACGAGAGGGTCCAGTGTGGGAGTTGGAGCTGGGAAGCCCTGGCACTTCTGCACTCACCCCTGGGTCTGACCTCTCCCCACAACTCCCAGGTCTGTTTCCAGGGCAGGGGATTGATGTCACCCATTAATTCAGTGGGCACCGGGCACCCGCTGAGGGCCAGGCTCTGTGCGGGGGCCCAAGAATGCCTGGAAGAGGGAGACGCAGTCCCGGCCTCGGGATCTCTCACAGGATAGACAGGACATCTCCTGACCATCATAGGGTGGCCTGGGTCTGTAACAGGTCCGAGCAGAATGCCAGTGCCTGTGGGGACCCCCAGGCTGAGGGGCTTCTTGAGTAAGGGATGAATAGAGGAACTGGATCCCAAGGGGTCAGCGGAGTTTTCCACGGCTGCTGACAAAGCTGATTCCAGGCAAAGAGGCTGCAGTCGCCTGTCACAAAGGGCAGCGTTGAGCATTGAGACTGGGAGGGGGTGGGGAGCAGACCTCGACTTCCAGAACTGGTGGTTGACATTCAGTGAGTGCTTGTAGGAAGATGGGGCCAAGCCCTGGGGGCTGAGCTAAGAGATGCAGGGGTGCTTGGGGAGCCTGGGGCAGTGAGCTGAGGTGTCAGGTTCTTCCTCAAAGCAGTGGGGAGGCCATGAGGACTTGAAACCAGGGAGGTGCCTCCACGTGGCTTTTGGCCCAGCATGCAGGGAGGTGGGGTCGGGGCTAGGCACACAGGTGTGCCAGGCCCCGCAAGTGCCTGGTTCTTCTACACTCTGCCTTGCAGACTGAAGGGACAGCCTTACTCCCTTTCTCTTGGCTGGGCCAGGAGGTTGGGCCAGACAGTCTCCACCCTGCACCCCCCAGGCAGCTGAAGACTGTCCAGCACCTCCTCTGACCACTCTGCTGCTCCCTTCTCTGCAGCCCTGAAGCTGTTTGATGATCCTGACCTCGGTGGAGCTGTCCCCCTGGGTGACCCCTTACTGCTGGCAGCTGCCTCCCAGAGTGGAGGAGCCACACCCCATGAAGGCCACAGGGAGGCCTCCGAGGAACTGTTCAGGTACCACTTGTCTCCAGTGACACTTCTGAGGTCGGGGTGTGTACCACGGAACCAGGAACTCTTCCCCGGGTGGTAGCACTTCAGCATCCTTGGGCTCCGAGGGAGGGAGTCCTGACCCATCAAAGGTGGGAGCCCAGGACTCCCTGGTGGCCCAGTGGCATTGCTCCCAATGCAAGGGCTCCAGGTTTATTCCCTAGTTGTGGAACTAGATCTCACATGCTGCAACTAAGACCTGATGCAGCTAAATAAATAAATAATTTTTTTAAAAAAGGTGGGAGCCTGTGGGTGAGAGCTGATTGATCGGGAGGCAGTGAAGGGGATTCAGTGGAAAGGCTGGAGGGAGGCGTCAGGGGAGTGTTAGCTGCTCAGCAAGTTCTAGAAGGAACTTCATTTATGCAAGCAGTTTATATAAAAAATAATTAAGTTATGTAATTCCAAGAGTAAGTATAACTGGCATAAATAGGTTTGAAAACAAATAAAAGTGACTCATGGTACCATACCACTCACCCGGAGGGAGCAAAGTCCTGATGTTCTGGACAGCAGCAGGGGCCCATCGGCAGATTTTACAGCGGGGAAAGTGTTAGTCGCTCACTTGTGTCCAACTCTTTGCGACCCCATGGACTGTAGCCTGCCAGGCTTCTCTGTCCATGGGATTCTCCAGGCAGGAATACTGGAGTGGGTTGCCATTTCCTTCTCCAGGGGATCTTACAGAAGGGAGAACGAGACTTAATCTGTTACATGGAGGTTGATTGACAGAATGTGCAAGACTGATCGCCACAGGATGCATGCTGTGCCTCAGACAGTTTGCCAGGCTCTTTACGTGTTATCCTGTTTAATCCTCATAAGAGCATCCTCTTCCCACCCCCATCCCCCACCCCCCACGTAGGTGCTGTTATCTCCTTTTTTACAGAAAATGGAGGGTGGGAGAGGTAACTGGCCCAAGGCCATAGGTCCCAAGCGACAGGAAGGGGACCCGGGTCAGCCTGCCTGTGTCTGGTCCTCCCACCTTGCTGGGACGCTGAGCGCTCAGAAGAGGAGAGGCTGGCAGACCGCCTCCCACCTCGGGCCCTACAGGCTCTCCCTGGGCTCGTGGGGCTGCACCCTTGGCACTGTGCGTCTCTGCCTCCCATCGTCACGTCATCCACGTGCCCAGGATGCAGACTGAGCCTGGCGATTACGGGACGCCGAGCTATCTCTTTCCAGGAACGGTTACGTGGCGCCGGCCTGAGGTCCCGGGAGACTGTCATCCACACCCTCGTTAGCAGCCATGGGCTGTTAGCCCCATGAGTGCCCGCCAGGCCTGAGTCACTGCGACGGCTCCTTGTCATTACACGTCCCCGAGGTCCCTGGCAGCTGTTCATTCTCATCCTTGCGTCCTCACCGCTGACGCCGCAGCAGTCCTCCCTGGACGAAGCTGGGATTGTTGTTCTGCATTTCGGGTGACTCAGAGGCCCAGGGAAGGTCAGCCCCAGGAGCCTCTGCTGTCCTGAGGACGCAGCCTGCGCTAGAGGGGTGGAGCCAGTGGGACCTTTGGGCCCCGTTTGTATCAATATTAAATCCATTACACATACATCCCAGTGTGACCTCAGCACACAGACACACACACAGACACATACTCCAGTGCAACTTCAGGACACAGACACACATACATAGACACACATACATCCCGGTGTGACCTCAGTGTGCACACACACACGCACTCACATACCACTGTGCGACCTCAGCATACAGACACACACATACACATATACATGCCAATGTAACCTCAGCACAAACACACAGACATACATACCACAGTGCAACGTCAGCACACAGATACAGACACAGACACATACCCCAGTGCAACCTCAGCACACAGACACACACACATAGACATATCCCAGTGTGACCTCAGCGTGCACACACACACACATACATACACACACGTATGCACACACATATCACAGTGCGACCTCAGCATACAGACACACACAGACACATATACATGCCAGTGTAACAGCACAAACACACAGACACACATACCACAGTGCAACCTCAGCACACAGACACATGCACAAAGACACACACACACATCCCAGTGTGACCTCAACGTGCATGCACACACACACATACCCCAGTGTGAGCTCAGCCTGCACAAACACACACACACACAGACATACCACAATACGATCTCAGCACACAGACACACACAAACTTTCAGACCCGCATTCTGCAGAACGCTGGGTTGGGGGTGTTGAAAGGTATCACCTGCAAAGGCTTTCTGTGGCCAGAGGGCTGGGGCAACACCAGGGTTAACCAGGACCTTCTGTACCTGTACTGTGTGGGTACACGTGGCTCGAGGGGAGGACCACGTGGCATTTCACGTTCCAGTTGATCCCTGGGACCCTCTCATGGGTAACGCCTCCTACATCCCCCAGGCCACTCTGGGAGTCACTGCTTTAGAGAATGTGAGTCCCGTGGTCCTGCCTTCACTCCGTCAGACATCTGGTGAAGAAAGAATTACCCTCTTGAGAGCAGGAACCATATTTTGTTTTTCTTTGTGTGCGTCCTGGGACTCTCCAGGTGGTGATCAGGTGTCTTTATGATGAACTTTCTCAGATTCTTTCATCCTCCAGTGCTTTCCTCACCCATTTATTCCACAGCTGGCATAAGCCCTCCCGAGGAGCACTGGCAGGCGGCGGGCGGTGGGGGGGTGCATTTGAACAGGGTTTGGAGCCGAGACACCCCCATTCCTTCTTGCCATGGGTCCCCAGCTTTGGTCTTCAGTTGAGCTCTGTCCTCTGCAGGGACCTGGGGAGGAGGAGCGGGCCAGCCCTTCAGTGGTTGACCTCACGCCTTCAGGGCCTGGAAGAGAGGGGAGCTGAATCTTGCATCAGTGGGAGCTGTTTCTAGCCATGACTCAGGGAACCCAGGCTTCTCTGGTGGCTCCGTGGTAAAGAAACTGCCTGCAGTGAGGGAAACCTGGGTTCGATCCTTGGGTCGGGAAGATCCCCTGGAGAAGGAAATGGCAACCCGCTCCAGTATTTTTGCCTGGAAAATCCCATGGACAGAGGAGCCTGGTGGGTTACAGTCCATGGGGTCGCAAAGAGTTGGACACGACTGAGCGATGAACACTTTCACTTCCAGGGAGCCCAGTTGGAAATGGGGTGCTGGGTGAGGGGTGCTGGGCAGCCACCTAGATCCTCAGGGCAGCTGCCCCACCTCCTAACTCAGTGAATCCAGCTCTAGATTAGTTAGCTCTAGAGCATCACTGCTATGCCCAGCAGTGTAAATCCTGAAATCTGATGCAAGCTTTTAGCTGCTATATTCTGTTTCCCTGTTTGAAGGTAGTTCAGCCCCTCAGAGCTTTTCCTGGGCACCCAGCCTCCAGTGGAAGATGTGGGATGAGCCAACACCTGTCCAGGGGAGCTTGAGGAAGGGGAGCCACGTGGAGGGAGCCTGGACAGCTGAGCTGAGCTCGCCAGGAGACTCCTGTTTCCCAGTAATGCCTTCAGGGATTGCCTGGAAGTCACTCCTTCAAGGCCTGGCTTGAGCCGGTCACTCTGGGTCTGAGGGACCCCTTTTTACTCACTTCTCTGCCCTACATAGGAAGCTCTGCACTCTCCTGGTGGGTCTGTGACCCATCACAGGAGGTTGACCCAGGAAGTGGGCAGGTGACAGCTGCTTTAGTAGCTGGTACCTGGCAGGCAGCCCCTCCCAGGAAGGGCACCTCCGCCCTTGTGCAGGCCTCTGCCAGGTCCTGTGTTGCCAGGAGTTGTTTTGACCAGAGGACCCGCCCCTCTGCTCCTGCCTTTACTCAGCCCAGCTGGTGTCTGAGCTGGATCCGGTTCACTGATGGGATGATGAAGGGCCAGGCTGGGGGGAGTGGCAGGATGAGGAAGGGAACTGCACTCTGCCTGCTGGACTGTGTGTCTTGCACCTGGAATTCCAGCCCCGTGGGGGTGATGCCGCTTGTTCCCATTTGGCTGATGGGGAACCAAAGCCTGGACAGGCCATGTGGCCTGTGTGAGGCCCCCTGGTCTTCTGCCTCCAGTGGCTGTGGCCTCCCCACCCCGACCCCAGCTGGTTGTGGGTGCCCGGCCGGGCCCTTCATCTTTCTGTGCCCCTAGTTTTCACATCTGCAAAGTGGAGCTAATATCTGCTACCAGACAGTGTCTTGTGATTGTTGTTCAATTGCTGAGTTGTATTTGATTCTTTGCCGCCCTTGTGGACTGCATCATGGCCGGCTCCCCCTCCTTCACCGTCTCCCAGAGTTTGCTCAGATTCCTGTCTATTGAGTCATCTAACCATTGATGCTATCGATGCTATCTAACCATCTCATCCTCTGCTGCTCTCTTCTCCTTTTGCCTTCAATCTTTCCTAGCATCAGGGTCTTTGATTACTAGATGAATTAATGGATGGGAGATGGCTGTGATGTGTGGGTACTCAGCACTACGTTGATTGGGTGGGGGGTGGGTTGAACAGGTCTCCAGGTGTTGAGTCCCTGCACGAGGCGCTCCCTTGGACAGAGTGCAGAGCAGGGTGCCTTTCTTTCCTGCCATTCAGGACTTGGGGTGGTCCCGTGTGACCGTCACCCTGCCTCGGCCTTCAGTCCCACCCACCAATGGGCTGTCCAGTCCAGGGCGTGGCCAGCTCCAGCCCTCTGGGGAGCTCTGTCCAGTGCAGAGGTGGCCCACCGGGTGACACTGTGCGCAGGCAGACCCCACCCCATCACTGCTCAGAGCCTCTCATTCATTCTTTCTCTGGCCGAACAGGGGTCTGGATGAGGGTTCAGCCCCTGACGTCAGCCCTACTGGTTCCAATTCGGGGCCTGTCACACGCTGTCACCTCAGGCAGGTGGCTCAGCCTCCTGGGACTTGAGCGTCCTCCTCTGCGGGGCAAAGATGGGGCTGAACGTCCCCAGGGGTCATCAGGGAATGAAACAAGCTCCTTGGCCCAGAGCAGGAGCTCCATATGTGGCAGCTGTTAACTTCTTGAGGGGCTGAAGGAAAAGTCACCTGAGGAAGCCAGCTTGTCTAGGGTGGGGTCCCCCGAGAAGCCATCCTACAGAGGATGCTGAGAGGCCAGCTCTCCTCACCCTGGGCTGTGGGGCTGCACTGAAGGAGAGTGCTGCCCTTCTGTTCCTCCCCAGGGGCAGGGCAGGCGGGAGGGCCAGGCTGGGGGGTGGTGTGTGGCAGGAGGCAGGGGGCACCGTGCCCTGCAAGGACTGCCTGCCTTGGCTGGGGAACCTTGTCCCTGTTGCAGCAGGCTCTGCCCAGGGACTTCTCCCTCTGCTTCTCTAGAGTCGAAGAGGACTTGGACCAGATTCTGAACCTGGGGGCTGAGCCCAAACCCCAGCCCAAGCCCCGGCCCAAGCCCAAGCCTCCAGTGGCCGCCAAGCCAGCGCTGCCCAGAAAGCCGGCTGTGCCTCCCAGAGCGGGTCCACCTGAGGCTGCGGCCACGCAGCAGCGGAAGCAGCAGCAGCAGATCCAAGCCATGGATGAGATGGACATCTTGCAGTATATCCGGGACCACGATGCGCCTGGCCAGGCTGCCCCCAGCCTCTTCTGACCACCCCCCAGCCCCCAGACTGTACCCAGGCCAGCAGACCCTCTCCCGTGGAGGGGTGCCTGGTGAGGGGCGGGCTTTGCCCTGCAGGGCCGGAACCGATCTATTCCCAAGGGAGGGAGGGTGGAAGCCCGGGTCAGAGGACCCCGGTACTGCCTTCTTCCTTGTTCTCAGGGCTTGCGGGGCCATGGAACCCTGTACAATGCAGAGAGCAGGGTCACCAGAGGAACACTGGAGCCTCAGTTGTCTCAGCCGCGTGCATGGGAGGGGGCGACACGTGGGGAGGCTTGTTCACCAGGCGCCCAAGCCCCCAGGATGTCATGGGACTGTGGTGGAGGGGCAGGGAGGCTCTGCTTAGGGCAGGGAAACTTTTCTGCCCACTCGTGCCCACTGAGTCTGGCAGCCCCAGCACAGGAAGGGAGGCCTGGCCAACTTGGGGTTGGGGTGGGAGTCTGCACGCCAAGGCACTCTGCAGTCTCTGGCCTGCAGGGCCCCTGGAGGCCTGCAGGCACTTGGGAGGGCCCCCAGGAGAAGGATACTGAGTGGGGCCTGGAAGGGCCTGGCTGCGATGGCTGGCCCTGATCCATCTCTGCATACCAATGGGCTGAGCAGGGTGCCAAAGCTCAAGGGAGACGTCAAGCCCGGCCCTGCCCCCGGGGTGTGGACGGCCTGACAAAGCTCTCCGTCTCCTCCCCCTTCCTTTCCTAGGGAAGGCCTGGCCAGACCACAGCCTTCTGGGGCCTCCGGCCATAGGACCAGTGTCCGCCATCGCAGCTTCGAGCTGAGTGGGCCCCATGTCCTCCAGGTCCACCTGTGGTCCATTTGCCCCTCCCTTTCACGGCAGGCCTGGGCTGGATGCTCTCGGGCTGCTCATGAAGGCTCTCTCTGTCCAGTGGTGGATTTGTTTGTCAGGCCTCCCCCCCGCCCATCCTTGGGGTCTGGACTTACTCACCGGCCTTCCGCCCATGGGAGCCCCCTCCCCAGAAGCAGGTTCTGCTGGGCCCAGCAGAACCAGTCAGTGCCTTAGACTTCTCCCCGAGCCCCACACCCCAGCATAGGGGTCAGGGTGTGCTGCGGCGCTCAGGAAATTCTCCATGAATGAGTGATGTTTAATGGAGGAAAGAATGCCTTTTTTGATACATTCTTCACATTCAGAGTTAGTTTTTAATGAAACACAGGTTTTTAAGGAAATGCAACCATTGTCATCCCTGGGGTTGTGCTGCTTGACAAGAGGATTAGAAGGTGGGGTTTGGGGCTAGGACCCCAGGCCCTTCCTGATCTGGACCAACACCAGCCCTGAGGGAGTCCCCCCACCGACCAGGGCTGGTGTCAGAGTCTCTGTAGCACCCACCACCCTGTGCCAGCACCCACAGACAGGTGGGAGCACTCAGCCTGTCCTGCGGCTCCTGCACCTTCGTGAAAAGTCCATCGGCTCCCCCCACCTGGGCCAGAGTGAGAAGAAACAGGTGGCTCTGGGGGCCCCTTCTCCCCGCCTTACCTTGCCCCGAGGGCGCTCTCCCTGGGGACCCCCAGCACGTGCCACCCCTCTTTCCTCTCACCGCCAGGACTTCACACCCCATCCCTCAAGCACAGGTGGACGCCCCCACCCTGCCCTGGGGTCTGCACCTGTCTGACTGCAGGAGGGCCCCCGAAGGAAGCCACAGTGGTGGGTGAGGGGCCACCTCGGGCTCTTTCCCCTCCCTCCCTGGCCCCCTCCCCTCCACCACGCCCCCCGCCCCCCGACACATGTGACATAGGAACAGGGCGTTGCTGGCAGCAGCCCAGTGCGGGGAGTGCTGGTCCTCCGGTGGGGGTCACAGGCAGAACTCACCACTCTGGGGAGGCTTCGTCCACTGGGAGCCTGGCCTTCTCCCAGGTGGCTGGCCCCTGGGACTCCCCCCCCCACCCCCGAGCAGAGATGCGTGCCTCCGGATATGGATGCGCTGTGACCCACCAGCCAACCCAAGACCCTGTCATCCAATAAAAAGTCTGTGTCGGGGCTCATCCTGTGTTTGTTGGTGGCAATCTTTTCTGTGCCCGGGCTGACAGAGAGCCACGTGGGGGCTGTCGTTACAACAGTGGGCTCAATGAGGGGAGCTGCCCCAGAAGGACCTGGGGATTGTTGAGGCTTCCAGGCTGCTGCTGGAGAGGGAGGGGGCAGGCAGAGCGAGGATTCCCCTGTATAAACGTAGGCAGAGGGGCCAGAGCCCCAGGCTGGGTGGGGTCATCAGTCAGTAACTGCTCAGCCTGCACTGGCTTGGAAAGAGGACTTTTCCCTCTCCAGACCTCACACCCCTCTCAGTGTGGGGACTGGTCTGGGCTTCACCATGCCTTTCTGAGGTGCTTTTCGGCTCTGACACCAGACAGCCCTGCCGAATACATGCATCTCTCCGTATCCAGACCTGCCTTCGACTCTGCTCTCCTCCCGGAGTCAGATTCCGAGATGCCATTTCCTGCCGGGGCTCCAGAAGTTCTGAGCAGATGGCTCCACAAGCCGACACCTCTGGAGACCCAGAAACAAGTCCTCGGGAGCCAGGCAGCTCCACGCAGGGCAGTCCACGAGCCCACCCGGCCTCCCCCCACCACTTGGCTTTGGATCTTGCAGCTAAGCTCCAAGCGGGGGTGTCGTGGTTCCGAGGGACCAGCAGAGGGGTTGTCTGAGAAGGACTGCAGAGCCCACGAGCCTGCGGCGGAGAGCTCACCGTAGAAGGAAAGGGAGCACCATGGAGGGCAGCGTTTGTTTGTTTCGAAGCCGTGTGAGCCCTGTGGACAGGATGTACTGGCTGCTGCAGGGGGCCCCGCTCCTGTCCCCCATTGTTCCTCTCAGGAAGCCGGGAACTCCAGCCTGTTCTGGAAAGTCCCCATTGTAATGCCTGACGCCACCGGGCCAGGAGTCAAGCTCCGCCGGGGCACGGCAGACTCCTGTAACACTCTGGTGCCCGCCTCCGTGTGCCCTGGGGCGGCCCCAAGGCTTGAACTCTTCCCAGAAGTCCAGTTGCCTCTCAGGGCTCCGGGGCCCTCGTGCCCAATAGCCAGCTTGGTATTGTCAATAGACTCCGTGTGGCGGCTTCAACCTTCAGGGTTAGACTTTGTCTCCAGGGAGCCCTCGTGTGAAAGTCACACTCGGCTCTCCAGTTCACCAGCCGCCCAGCGGAGCATCACCTGCGGACAAGAGAAGGGAAGCAGGACTGCCTTCTCCTGGCCAGTGGCCCTGGCTGGACAACAGGCACCTCCCAGGGCCGCTGCGTCTGTGTGGGCTGACGGCCGCCCAGAGCAGGCGTGGTCAAAACTCAGAGCCCCTTGAGTGATCGACCTCTTGGTGTTAAGTTATGGACGGTGCTGTTTAGTGCAAGCTCTGATCACTCCAAACCCTTCCCTGACGCCTCACAGTTGGGGGCAGCTGACCAAAGGGCCAGGCTTCGTGGGCCTGGAAGGATTTATGTTCAACTCAGCTATATGATGTCCCCTCACCACACAGTGCTGAGTGAAGAGACTTTCTTGGGCCAGGTAGACTGTAACATCCTGTTTATGTCACTCCAGTTCATCCTGGAGGGCCCCCTGCCCAGGAAAAGATGGGTGTAGTGGACGTGACAGGCTGAAGTTGGGTGGTCAGAGGCACTGTATGCCTCAGCTCAGCCTTGCCTCCTGCCGCGGGCCCCGACATGGCCATCCAGGCATCTTGCTATGTATGCTGTGGTGAAGGGGATCCAGGGGTACAAGCTGGTGCGTACACCATGGAGCACAGTGCTCATACCTCTCCCGGCTGGCCTCTGATTCTGGTTTAACACAGCTTTGGCCACCGGTGAGCTGAGGGGGTTCATTTCTCAGATCGCAATCAGAGTAGAGCCACATTTCTGGAGCGGGGATTATGGGCTCAGCACATAGCCTCAGTAAGCAAGAATTCCTGGTGACAACTTTCAGAGGTGCCGATGCTTCTTTGCTAATTCAGCAAATATTTGTAGCAGCAGCCTCCAAATTCCTTTTTAAGGAAAGCTGGGTTAGCTTTCTCCAGCACAGCTAGCCAGTCACATCTGTTTCTTTACATGCCAAGTTTCATCCAAAAACTAAGCATTTAATGGCACCTACTGTGTGCAGGCACCTGTGGCACCCGGGGAATCAGGTGGGTTGAGGGACAGGGGAGATGCAGGTCAGCCCTTCCAGTCTAGAAGCTCCCCATCATGTTGGGCACCAGTCCGTTTGGTGAATAAGCAAATGCAGGGAGCGAGAAAAGTGCAGGAAACAATGCAGCACGAAGCAGAAGGAGGCGAAGACAGTATAGACCTTGGTGCTCCAGGGAGGCAGGGCAAGAGAGATCAGGGCAGCCCAGCCAGTGAACGTTTCCTGTAGTACCTGTTCCAGGCACGATGGAGGATGCACAAATGAGAAAACATGAGCCATCAAAGCCAAATCCATGAGCCACATTGAGCCGTAGGTTCTGTTCTGTTCTCTGGGCCACCTGCCCGAACAGCAGACACAACTGCAACTCGCTTCTTCCTGTGCAGCCCTCTTTGCCCGCCCCTCACCCCCTGCTGCTCCAGCACATACAGTTTTGCATGCCACATGACCCCAGTCCTTGATCATTGTGTTCATTTCCTATGGTGGCCATGGCAAGTACCACAAACTGGGTAGCTGTAAACAGCAGGAATGTATTCCCTCTCAGTTCTGGAGGCCAGAAGTCTAAAATCAAGAGGTTGGCAGGGCTGTGCTCTCGAGGGAGAATCCTTCCTTGCTTCTTCCAGCTTCTGGAGGTTGCAGGCGATCGTTAGAGTTCCTTGGCTTATAGCTACATCATTGCAATCTCTGTCTTCACATGGCCTCCTCCCTGTGTGTCTCTGTCTTCACACCGTTGTCTCCTCTGCATCATTTCTGTATCTGTGTCCAACTTTTCCCTGTTCTTCTAAGTAAGCCAGTCACTGGATCAGGACCACCGAATCCAGCATTACCTCATTTTCCCTTAGTTACCTCTGCAAAGACCCCATTTCCAAATAAGTTCGCATTCACAA